TTTCTGCCTCACTAACCCTGGCAGAGTATTCTGTCTGGCAGAGTTCCTCAGCCAGATTATACAAACCAGTAAAGTTTTGAAAACAAGGTTAACATGTAATTAAAGTGAGCTTAACTGAGCTGGTGGGTTGTGGATTGAAGTAACTGAGACACACCAAAACAGGGTCCTTATCTATTTTAATTAAATGGGAATATGATGGGTTGTGAACTTGGCTTGAGCAGAGCTTTAGTGGCAGTGGTGGAATTATCCTCTCAGTGTGCTGTCTGCCACACTGGGGGCTGCACTTTGCTCCCCAGGTAAACCCATCATCATTCCCTGGGCCTCCAACCATGAATCCACAGGTACCTGAGCATGGAGGAGGGAATCCTGCAGGGGAACTTGAGGCACTGAAGGCACAGTGCTCTCCTGCTTCTCCTCAGAGTGATGTGAAGCAACACAAGCCTGTTCTAACTGAATAAAACACAATGCAGTGTCTGTCCCACTGCTGGATTTGGTGATAATGGGTTTTTTTTGGGCTGATTTGCATACCCAGCTCAGCATTAATTACTGTGAGAGCAGTGCGGACCCTTTTAATTCATGTGGTTTTGGTTTCTGCTGTAAATTACTGGAACATGCAGGAACTTATTCTTTCCATTATGTGCTTTACTTTACCAGAACTCGGTCAAACACGTAAGGAAAAGAAGAAGAAGAATTCAGGGGTGTCTAAAACTTCAGAATTGTTCCCTAAAAGTACATTTAAGCTGAAATGTGTGTCCTCTGCCCATCACCATCACTCTGTCTCTGTAACAGGTTTATGCCTCCGTGCCCAGAGCTTTCCCTCGCCGCTTTGTTCTCCCTCTGGATGTGGGCTCAGACACACCCGTGGGCAAAAACCTGAACCCGCTGCCTTACACCCAGGCAAAGGCTGTGAAAGGTGCAGATGGCAAGGTGTGTACCAAACCATAAATGCCTTTATGCAGCAGCTCCTGGGCCTCGGAGCTTTAACCACCTTTGGTTGTGTGATGGTTGGTGGGACCAGCCAGCTCTCCTGCCCTGCCCGAGTGGAACCAACCCTGCACATTTCCTGGAGAATTTACCCTGCAATTTTCTTTTTCTCCCAGGTGTGGTGCACACATGAAAATCTGCACCCTGAGGGCTTTGAGAAAGTCGGGGGCCTGGAGTTCCCCCAGATCAATTACTCTGGGTACAACGGCCGCAGGTACCGCTACTTCTACGGCTGCGGCTTCGGGCACCTGCTCGGAGACTCCCTGATCAAGGTCGATGTGGAGACCAAGAATTTCAAGGTGAGGTGAAGGCAGCTCGTCGAGTCCTTCCCCTGAAGTGCATTTGAAGGTGTGACATTTACTGGGGGGTTTTTAGGGCTTTGCACAGATGGGTCTGGGATGAGATTCCCAATTTCATCCCTCACCTGGCACCCTTATGAACGTGGCACAGTCACCAAACAGGAGAGGATGGCACCAGTACACTCCTGGAATGAAGAAAAAGTTAATAAAAAGTTGAACTCTTAAGTTTCTTGGAGCCCAGAGTATTTCCAGGTGCCTTTGTGGGGAGCACTGTAACTCTGCTCAGTGCAGCAGACAAGTATTAATGCAATGAAGCTCATCCATATGTCCCTGAAGCTCATCCATGTGTTCCTGTGCTTGCTAGATCTGGCAGGAGGAGGGATGCTACCCGTCAGAGCCCGTGTTTGTGCCAGTGCCCAATGCCACGGCAGAGGACAGCGGAGTCATCTTGTCTGTGGTGGTCTCCCCTGCTGAGGTAACTTGCTGCCTGCAGTTTGTCAAAGTCACACAGCATTAATTCACTTTTTAAACCTCACAGCCGAGCTGGAGGCTCCTGGCAGGTGCTCCCCAGAGGCAGTGCAGGCAGGAGTTCTCCCCAGGCTGTTGGTGTGTCCCCAGTGAGGCTCGGAGCTCCTGCCCTGCAGGTTTGCTCTCCGTGGTTTGCTCTGTGCCTTTGTGTGCAAACAGTGCGAGAAGTTCAGCCTGGCCGCTCACTCTGCCTCTCTGCTCCTCCTGCAGGACCAAAGTGCTTTCCTGCTCGTGCTGGATGCAGAGACCTTCCAGGAGCTGGGGCGAGCAGAGGTCGGGGTGCCAGTGCCTTACGGGTTCCACGGCGTCTTCAGTGCCCACTGAGGAGCTCCTGGGCACCTCCTGGCACTCAGGGCCGAGCCAGCCCCACGAGGAACCTCTGCTGCCTTCACCTCCCACCTTTCCATCGCGTCTGGGATGAAGGAGCTGCTTTTTCTCCACCACAACCTCCTGTATTCCTAACAAAACACAGCCAAGGAAGGCAGGAACCCCTTTGCTCCCACAGCCCACTGCTTTATCTGCATTTTTTTTACTATCTTGCTAGACCAGCTAGAGCAGCAGTTCACAAAGGATGCCAGGGTGAGGCTTGCAAGGCAGAAAATGGAAGCTGAGGTGATAAAACCCTTCCTGTGGTGCCCTGAGGGGAAGAGAACATCAACATTCAGGGCTGTGACTTTGGCTGAAACATTTAGAGCAGAAGAGAGGAGTAAAACCCAGCAGGTGACAGGTGGGCCCAGTGAGGGGGAATAAATAAATCCCCCCTTGCATCCAGGTTGCCTTCGGGGGGCTCCAGGGGGTAGATGCAGACACTCACAGAAGCTGTGCTCGTGCTTTTTTCTGTACCATAGCAGTGCCCTCAAATAAAACCTTGGGAAGTTTTTCCTTTCTCTGCCTGCCCTCAGAGGCTTGTAGATGTGGGGGGCACATCTGCAGAGCGGGACAAGCTCTGCTGGCTGACAGCTCCTGCCTTCCTCCCAGTCCCACCAGTAGGAAACACCAGTAGGAAACACGGAGAGCTCCAGTGTGGCCTTGGTGTCCCTCTGGGGTGGAGCAGAGCAGAACAAACTCCAGCCCCCTGTGTCATCCAGGCTTCTCCAGACCCTCTGGGTGGGTCAACAGTGAGGACTTCTAGTTGTACTTTTTCGTTGTGAAGAATTATTTGAATCATTTCCTTGAGTAATAAAGGAGCCCTTAAGTAATAAAGGAGCCCTTTCGCCCTTGGGGCTTTTCCCCCTCTGAGGAAGCTTCCTTCACCTTCCTTACAGGTCTGGGGAAAAGAAAAAGGATTTTACCTGAGGGAGAGGCAGACGAGGCTCAGCCGGAGCTGGTGGAAGCCACTAGATGGCAAACAGTTCCCGTTCCTGCCGTTCAGCAGCCTCTGGTCATTGTCACATCCCGCTCTCCTGCTGGAGCCTGTCCCCGCGGGACAGCAGAACGGTGCCAAGAGCTGTTTGATGGAGTTCAGCCACCATTGGTTCTCTTTTTTCATTTTTGTTATTTTCTCGTTGAGGTGGGAAACGAAAAGGAGCATCCTGAGGCCAAACATGGGGGATTGGAGCATCCAGGGGCTGAACACGGGGGGAATTGGGGCATCCCGGGGATGAACATGGGGGGATTGGAGCATCCTGGAAGCGAACAAGGTGGGATTGGAGCATCCTAGGGCTGAACACGGGGAGGAACTGGAGCATCCCGGGGATGAACATGGGGGTTTGGAGCATCCCGGGGATGAACACGGGGGTTTGGAGCATCCTGGAAGCGAACACGGGGGACTGGAGCATCCAGGGGCTGAACACGGGGAGGAACTGGAGCATCACCGGGTCCGACAACAACACGGAAGGACCGGAGCATCTCCAGGGCTAAACACGGGGTAACCAGAGCATCCAGGGGCTGAACACGGCGAGGAACTGGAGCATCCCCGAGTCCGACATCGGCACCGGGGGATTGGAGCATCCCCGCATCCAGCACCGGCACGGATGGACCGGAGCATCCCCGG